CTTCTGACGTTGTTGACGAATTTTCGACTTTTTGACCATTTTTCGTCATAGCTTTGCACTGGAAATGTGCATCTTCAACCAACTGGGCTATTTCAGTTGCTCTAGCGAGAGTAGTATCGTCTGGCTCTAGAAGCAAGCGTTCCCTAATTCGTTTCATAGACGTGAACGTAATAAAATGTCCTCGGATGATTTCATCTGTCAAATCACCATATTCACAGTATTTAGCCAGTTCTTTCAAGGCAGTAATAAATTCAATTATTTTCTCACCTGGACGTTGAACTCTTTCTTGAAATGTATTTCGAGACATAATGACCGACTTTCGTTTTCCAAAACGAGCTTTGAGGGCATCGAGTGCATTTGTGTACGTATCTGTGTTGGCCAAAGTTCTAAATATTCGTTGTCCTTCATCACCCAAACAATGAAACAATATTGCTTTTCTTCTGTCATCGGAGACATCTTCGCCGTCTAAGGCATTAGCAATTAGATAATTCTTGAAACCCTCTATCCATCTTTGATACGGAATCGGTGGATCGCCGGGTGAAGCGAGAAAAGGTGAAGGAGGAGGCAACAAACCTACTAAATTACCAGCCATTCTTCTTCAGGTTCATCCTCGTCGCCAATTTGTTGTGTTTGCGATTGGCCATAAAGATGCATAGTTGATTAAAACTTAAATTTATTATACATGAAATTCTTACAACAATGGCGGTCAGCCCGTCGACCTACTACAAAGTGAATGACGTCATGTGACCTCGTGCAAAGCAAGCAACCAGAAGCGTACATACTGTTTCGGCGTCACATACGTTCGAACCTAGACACAACACGGGTAATCGTCGGCAATAACCGTTTGTTACCCGGTTAATCCCAGTTAATTACTAAAGATTATAAAAGGAGTCAAAAATCGCATTTGCGGCGGTAACTGTACCTAAACTAGAGTAAGTGTAAATGAGTACCCAGGAAGATTTTGGCTAGTTCCCCGCGAATTTTCGATACAAATCGACAGATTCCGAACAACCTATTGAAGCGTCTGCTTCAGAGCGGGCCTGACAGAGTTCAGACGGACTGGTGCCATTGTCACTCATTGCTACAGTCTCTAACAGATCAAACGTTTTTATACCAGTTATTGTGGGGTCACTGTAATGCATGTATCTCATTGAAGTCGCCGCGAATCAGTGTACTGGTTCCACAACTGGTATAAAACTATTGTCTCAATGAATCCGTACTCATAAATATTAATAAGCTTGAAGCTGATTGACAGGAAAGAAGAAACAAACAGCTAATTAGAGGAGAGTTAATAAAAAGTAATACGATCTTTATAACTGTTTTCATCCTAAGCAACTCGTACTCGATTGAAATAATAAAAATAATAACAAAACTCATTAAAACACTAGAACATGCTTTAAAAACACTGTGTTACATTTCCTCAATACAATAAAAATAATAACAAAACTCATTAAAACACTAGAACATGCTTTAAAAACACTGTGTTACATTTCCTCAATACAATAAAAATAATAACAAAACTTATTAAAACACTAGAACATGCTTAAAAAACACTGTGTTACATTTCCGCAATACAATAAAAATAATAACAAAACTTATTAAAACACTAGAACATGCTTTAAAAACACTGTGTTACATTTCCGCAATACAATAAAAATAATAACAAAACTTATTAAAACACTAGAACATGCTTTAAAAACACTGTGTTACATTTCCGCAATACAATAAAAATAATAACAAGATTCAACGAACCGTGGCGCATGCCGAACGTCTGATAATGATTACAGTGCTGCAGTGCTTATTTGATTAACCTAATTAACATAACGGTGCACACGGCGACTGTCGACAAACTATGACCATCGTGACGCGATTATCCAGGACGAGTAATTAGTTGAACTTATATCAAAAAAGAGGCTTGATAATCTTGACCACAATTCTTGCAACTCGTTAGTATTTTGCTAATTGATACCCTATCTTGATTCATTAATCTCAATTATTCAATCAATAAAGATGTTTATTTACTAAAGAAAACAGCTTAAAGACTCATACAGTGACGAATTTTCTGTCAAAATTGCTCTCTTTTTACTTCTTATAAAATTGATGGTTAACCGATAATCTCAAATCAGGTTACCCGTGAAATACTACCCGAAATCGGTTAACTGATTAACCGTTTCAACACTAAATTGCCATTGGGAGAGCTTGTTGTCATTATTCAAAGAAAAAACGAAATGAAATAAAATTGAGTTTCACATCCTTCTTTTCACCAGGACAGCATTAGCCTACTTTAATTACTTTCCACTGTCAAAGTATGATTAATGTGCATAGCTTTTAGTAAAGATAGTGGACCACAGCCATATATGCCCACCACGGCATGCAGATGGTAAATATTCAAGATTTTGGGAAAGGGCAATAACTCTGCTTCTAACAGTCGAAAATAGCTAAAGTTTGAACTTGATCTACATTTTATGAATATGGATACACATACCGAATTTCATTTGATTCCATCAAAAATCTTGACGGACGGACGGGGTTGCCGCCAATATACATCCACATAGAGAGATGTGGGCGTATAAAAAGGCATTGATCATTCTAAATTCGGTAAGACTAGACACTTTTTCCATGTTAGCACCTTTAGACATAAAACACTGACAGAAAGAAACTGGATTGAAAAATCTGTAAGTATCATCTCACCCTTATAATAATTTTGTTATAAACTAAGAGTGTGAAGTATATCTCTTATAAATCATACCAGGGTCAAATGGAATCAACATTCAACACGATAACCATATGATACCCTTTATAACGACATTTGATTCTATAGCTACCAAAGCCTCCATAATAGTCAAATGCCATTACTCAGAACTTCAGAACAAATTTCACACAAAACGTTTGGTTGTAGCTTACAAAAGAAATCAAAATCTTAGCAATTTTCCCTTTCACGGTAGACTTGAACCATTGAACAATGCCCATTCATCCTAGGAGCAGATATTTCTTCATATAAATGTATCATGTTATATCAATAGATTAATCGATTTCTAAGTTAGATTTCAGGGAATACTTATTTCAGGACTGGTGCCATGGCTATATACAGTATATTATATAACATGCAGTGTATGTTTGTGTTTGTGTCTTTTCAACTAAAATCATACTAATGACTAACTTATTTTCACATAATTAATAGACTTATCTATTGGTCTGTGACCTAGGCCAGTGCTTTCATTGAGACTTGTCTCAATACACCCTAACACCAATACAGAGCTAAATTCCTTAAAATTAAAAGAAGGAATATAATTTTAGTACAGAAAACCTCATCTAAAAGCTAGTGGATTTTGAACAAGCTGATTATTTGAAAATTTTATTACCAAATATCTCAACTGGAGATGACTAAATCCATAACGTTATTTTAATCATTAATCAACACATTTATTACCGGCAAAATTCTGTAGTGCTGGTATGAAACTGGTGTAATCAATATGTATAAAAACTTACTTCTCACTTTACAGCTTCTTCCTTGCATTATTATTCACTGTAATATGCTATAAACAGTTTCCAATCTTATAATAATCTGATATGATGCTTCTAGCTTTTCTTTGAACTGATTGGCTTAGTTTCAATAACATTTCAGATTACTGCATCTCCTCAAATGTGGTCTTTCATGAAAGTGACCACATGTTTTTATACAAAGAATCTGTATTCTCTCCACGAATGATGATGAACACTACAAACTCCATTTTTTAATAGATCTCAATGATTTTGAATAGATTATGTACTTGAAAGGAAACAGGAAAAGTACACTTGAGATACAGTCATTATTTATCCATAGAAAGTCTTATTTCACAAAATAAACTTATTCAAGTTTTAGGTAGACAGTGACTTTGTAATTGATTGAAAATTGAATGAAATACAATCAATATGATAGAAAAATGTGCATTCTTTCTATTAAATACTAGCCCTATACCATATCATATTAATAAGACTGACCACTCTCAGTTGATCACATCAATTGATGTAACAATACAAAAAACACTAAAACAAATAATCCAAACTACAAAACAAAACCCAAAATCCAAAATAACAGTAAAACAATATCATAATATATCATATCTTTGGATACCCTAAATATTCTAACTATAAGAAACATTTATCCTTTGCAACAAAGGCTCTCGAAAGAAAAATAAGCTAATTCTAAAGTTTATCTAATGTTGTTTAACCAGAATCTCCAAAAAATCTAATGAAGGATTTTCCATCATTCCTGTTGAAATTTCAAATTTTGGAATTTAGAGAAAACAACCCACAGTTAAGATTGAAAATTTCTGTCTGTTTATTCATTTTCCAGGTAATATGGCATTTTCATCTCAAATCCCCAATTTCGTAGAAACTACACACTACCTTTTCAGATTCTTCTTGTCAATTTAACAAAACAATGTTATGGACTACATGGGTTAAACCTTCGTAGCTAAGATCTTTGTAAGTTTGTTATACCTAGGTCACACGTTCACGGATTTGAAGTCGGATTAGGTAAGGATTCGATCTAGCATCATTCATGACAACTGTATTGATCTGCAACTTTCCGTATTGTAGCCGTAGTCATGTATATTCATGACAAATTTTAACATGTTCAAAATTTGACCACAGATCAAACAACCGTAGTATATTCTTACTAAACCGTATTAGACCACACTGATCCATTTAAGTCCCTATTATAACTGTATTAATCTGTACTTATTTAATTTGTAGGTCTTGTAGTACGGTAACAATCCATATCACTCATGTTTTCAAACGACCCCTTTCCTACACTGTCATTTCCGCGGTCATCTGTAAGATTTAATTCGTAGTGGCGAGGTGATCCATGAATGTGTGACCTAGGCATTAGAGAAACATGAATAAGAAAGTGCCTAAGAATTAAAGGTTAACATTTTTGTATAAACTTACACACCTTAGTGAAACGGGGGACAGGAATTTTAGAAATATTAAAAATGAAGCACATTTTTAAAATAAAGTTTTTAAGTTATTACTGATGTGGTCTAACATATCAAAAATAATTGGAGGGAAAAAACCAGTGCTTTATTTCATTATTTAACATACTTATTGAGAAAAAAGCACTCATATCTGAGAGGGTCACCTAGGACCCACTGGGTGATTTGAAATAGAATGACCCTATTTCAATTATATGAAAATGATTTGTAAAATAAAATTGAAAAAAAAACGATATGCAAAAATAGTCTTCTCTCTATGGAACTGGATTTGGTTTTTGATCAATATAAATTTTAACTTTCAATACTTAGAAAAGATTATTTACGGTACTTCTACAAATCTTATTTTATCAAGATGTCAGCCAAATATCAACTGGCAGTTCCAAAATCAAGTCTTTTTGCTAGCCAGATTTGTTGCAATTAAAAAAAATTCACTTGCATGTCTCATGTTGACATTAGAGATACAGTGTACAATAGTGGAATTAAACATAGTTAACCTTACCAATGGTTTCCCTGGCATCTTGAAAATCATCATCTGATAAAGTAGAATCAGGATTACTTCTGTTACTCTTTTTACTTTCATTTCTTTTCACGCCCTTACTCTTAATGTCTGATTTCTTCTCCATTTCAAGTTATTAATGTTAATTTCTGAAAAATTGAAGAAATAATCTTGCATGTTTAAAGCCATTTAATTGTCACTGATAAAGCACTCGCTTTTTGACCAATTAGATTGAAAGGAATATTTCTATAGAATTAATAATATTTAATAGCTACTGTAAACTACAATAATTTGACTATTATCAAATATGATGATCAAAACAATTATTCATAGAACAATAGTCTGATAAATTGTATTAATGTTGATTAATGCTCTAATAATTCTAAAACTATTATGACATATCTTTGAGAAAATTTAATAAGAATATTCTCATTGCAAAAAAAAGTGTGCAAATTGCTTCGTTCACTTAACAACAATTTCCATTTTTAAAATGTTTGTAATCATATTTATTTTCATTAACTACTTAAGATCCTTTTTTTTTTCATTTTGTAGAATAGAATGTTCTGGTATAATAAAATTTTTTTATGAAATTTCTAGACTATAATAGATCTAATGCTTTACAGTCATAATTACACAAAATAGACAATTCCCATGATCTGTTTGTTGTATCAAATGATGGAAGCTATTGCACGCTTTACTCTAGTCTAGCCCATAAATGTTATATGTAACAATTTATGTTGAGTGCCAATCAATGTTGATTTTCATGAGAGTTCTTCCCCACCCACTTTGGATAGGGCTAGAGTTGTCAGGCTAGTTTTAATCTGAAAATGTATAAAGAGAGTGTAGGTTAGTCTGGGTCTTTGGATGTCTGCACATCATCATTCAAACAACATGTCAATGTTCACTAAATCCATGTTAAAGAAAGGAAGATTACTGACTGAGGTATTACTACTAGATCTACTGATTTTGTGCTAAGCAATCATTCCTCCTACTGCATAGAGCCAATTGAATAATAGAGGAGTGAAGTAGGAATATATCAAAATGTTGATGGCTGCTCGAGGCTGTTATTTGCAATAATAATTTATTATATAGACCTTTATTCATATACTTAATTCCCAGTTAATTTCAAACTACCAGATTCACAGTTCGTAACCAAAAACTTCCTCTTTTAAACAAGTTATATTAGTTTTAGAAGAAGTGTCAATCAACGTTTTGATCTCAGGTAAAATAAAAAAAAACACACCTGCACTTCCTGTGCAATTTGATTGGTTGAAAGTTTTGTTTATAATCAATAAGGTCAAGGTAGGTAAAAGAGTTATTTCCCCTGCAATGGCGGGCGTTGCTGATGTAAACAAAATAGATAAATTCTTTTATGATTTTCATGGTTTTTTTTACTCTAGGCCTATTTATATTTAATTCGTAGACTGTATGCACGTAATTACACGAAATGGAGATAAATAGGTTGGTATCTTTTTCCATGATGAAATTTTCAGAATTTGTTCATTGTATTTAGACTGTAGTCCAGACTACAGTACACTGTACAGTGTAGTGTCGAGTGACACTGAAGGTTTGTTGTTAGTAGTGTGAGTGTCACGATTTCAAAATTATTGTTTTTTCCAACATTCCGAAGCCAATATTATGACTCTCTATCTGATCTTAGTTGTAGGATACAACAAGATAATAATCAGTTGGCTGTAAGAAATATCTATTCACAGTTACCACAGGTATGGTATTTTCAGCACAGTCAAGTAACCTAATTTCGTGATAACCTATTTTTCGTGGATGTGCGACCTCGCGTGACCCTCTGCATCTGCTTATTTTAATAAACATGGGTTGTCTGTACAATATCAGCTAGTAGAATGAATTCAGTAGTTTCAAGCAAGGTAAAATTATTAATGTATACTTTGACAAATACAAAATGGCAGATTTCACTTATTACCAAACGTCACTGCCGAATTTCCTTATAATCCTTATAATCGGAATTCCAAGTGTCGTCTGCTAGAATGTAGTCCAAGGAATGAAGTCACGTGATCAACTAGCGGATTCCTTGTCAGCAGAAAATTTCTATGGAACACAAAGTGGACCATATTCTTATGTTGTTTCAGTGACGTTTAGCAATATATCACGCTACGTATCTTACTTTGTCAGTCACTATTTTTTTTTTAAATCGTGGTTCTTTGAAAGAATTGTCACTAGTTATAATGAATTGATATTAAAGATAAATACTAAGAGAAGTTAATTATACCACCCGGTATCCATACAACGTATTTTTCTAGACTTATTTATAGATCAAACATTGTAGGCCTACACGAAAATAGGTGACGCATTCTGCCGTGTTGCCGAGTTGGTTGCTCATGAAATATACGTCAAAGGATTCATAAAGAAAATCGAAATAAACCAATTTTAATTATTTTGTAGAATGTCTGAGGAAACATCTAAGACATAAAAAAAAAATTCATTTTTTTAACTTTGACGAAATTCGAAGCCTTATATCCATGAAAATAGGTTACACCACTGTATTATCTTTCCAATATGTATGTTTGCTATTTTGTTATTTTAAAGAAATGCTTTTTCTAACAGAAGATCTGACAACTTTTAATAGTTCGGTCAATTTCTGCTCAATAGTGCATTAAAGGGATACTACGTCTTAGAATACACTCGTCCTGTGGCTAATATTTGTGTTTAATAGTGACCATTGGTTAAATAAGTATGCATCCCACACTTTATCAAGTTTGAAAAAGCGACAATAAAACTATAATCAAAATTTTAAAAAAAGGTGAGCAAGCGATAATTCCGTTCAGTTTGAGAAAAAAAGAGTCTGGGTAATCAACACTAAAACAGGAAACAATCATCTTCCGGTGTATACAAACAAACTTTTCGTTGAAAATATTCGTTGAAAATTGTGTCAGTGGTGGAGTATTCATTCTAGATTATATGAATGGCTTTTTCGCGGAGTCGCTTTATCTCCTACGAGGCATTATTATTCTGTCTTCAAAATATGTCTAAAAATGTCGAGGTCAATTCAAGAGTAGAGGTCAAGGACGCGGGAAACCCCACTTGAGAGTTACTTCCCCTTGAAAATTACACTGGACTCACGATTTGAAAATCGCTTAATGGATGTATTAAACGTTTTATAATTAATTACTTGATTTGTGGATATATCGGATTATAGAGGGATTTTGATGTATGGTTAGGACACCAGGTAAGTCCACTGATGGATATATACTGTTATTGGCCAAATTTGAGCAAAATGAAAATTTTATGTTCATCCTAAGACGTGGTATCCCTTTAACTAATCTAAATCATTGTGGGCAAGCGATACAAGTCAGTGTTGAAACAAAGAATATCCAAGCCACATTCATCAGATTCATAGCTGCATACTTTTATTTTAGCTCCCTTCAGCAAGATTCCAGTATTCAGTTTGGCACGACTTGAAATCTACTACAGTTAAAGGAGATGAACTGAAGGCACCAAGAATCAGAATTGGTAAAATTTCAACCTTTAGATTTTTTTTTTAATGACAAAATTTATCAATTAGAATTTGAAAAAATTACTAGTTAAATGACACTATGCAAGCTAGATCTTATTGCATTCATACTGCTCATGTTTATGTTGTGTACAAATGTCTTCACTCGACTATATGTACATTAACTCTCTCAAACATTGGAGAAGGCCTACAGAGTGACATGAAATCATGCCAATTCCATATGTTTTCTGAAAAAACCAAGCCAAATTTCTTGGTTTATATTGAGCCAATGACAAATGAACTTGTTTGGCAAAATATTAACTTTAGCCTTTTTTTTTTGTAACTAAAAATTACAGAATGTAACATGACATTATGCTGTAATAATTTTACAGGTCCAAATGTAAAAGATATCAAGAATTCAAATCAAGTGAAAACTGAATATGCTGATGAAGAATCATTCCATGATTTAACTGGAAAACAACACAAGCAATATAGAAATGAAATAGAAAACTGGGAAAAGGCTGAGGTTTGTTTGGTATATTATAGAAATGGGTATATCAAAACAGAAATATACTAATTGGATGCAAATGTGTGTTATGGATTTGTATTTTATAGATTATTAAGAATTTTTGTTTTGAATTTTAAAATAAGTTTTGAAATTTTACTGAAAAAAGGCCTATCTGGGATAGTCTCGTCAATATTTACAATATGCAAAAGTAGTTGAAATAACATAAAGACGTCTCAAAATTTCTTGGGTTTTTTTCCAGTTAGCAAATTTTTGCTATCAAGAATTACAAGAAGGTTATCAAAAGAAGAATTTGTACAGGGTATTAGATAGAATACAGCATGTTAAATATCTAAATTTAGCACATAATGAAATTAACAAAATCAGTTCCTTTTCATTTCCAAAGTAAGTTATATCTCATTTTGTATCTTTTATCTGCAATTGAAGAAGAAATTCTATGAAACATGTACATCCTATCTGCTTGTAATGAATAAATCTATATGTGTACTTTTTTTAGTCGTTAGAGTTCACTTTTTTGTAAAACTCTAAAGAAAGCTTTAAGATATGTTTTTCTGTTTCAGATGTGAATATTTGAATTTGAACAACAATAATTTTACTTCATTAAAGGTAAGTCTACAATACATTTGAATTTCAACCTCTTTGCTTCAATTCTGTACTCTAGGAACTACATTGACCTTGCATATTCTGGAACAATCTGTAATTTTGTTCATGTGATTCTGTGTTTTGATGAGTTTGAAAATAAAGAAGAAATCTATTTCTAGGGTTTACCAAAATTAAGAATGATTCAATATTTAACACTAAAAGATAATGATATAAAGGATTTGGATGGATTGACAATGTTAAGATCAACTCCAATAGCAGAATTGTATCTAAATGGTAACCCAGTTGTTTTTTCACAGTTCTACAGACAAAGGTTTGTTATTTTTCTCATAATTAGCTAAAAATTGGCATTAGATTAAAAGTCATATCATTTTTATATGCCCAAATGAAAATGTGGACGTATATTGCCGTTGGATTGTCATCTGCTTTGCTATTAGATTCTAATGACACCATAGATTTTTAAAGTATTTATGGTTTAACAAAAAAGTAATGTAATATTGGACTTGGAACGACATAATTATAGAAGTGAGGAATACATATCACAAACACAAGACAATATTATGGAATAAGCACACTTCTTTAATAAAATATTAAACACATAACGTTTCAACACAAATTACACATGTCTTCATCAGATGAAATTTAATAAGAGAATAAAACATAACAATATATATATATATATACAACTAAGAATAATAGAGATTAATAGAGTTAATACATCAAAGAGTAATAACAGTAATAATGAGAACATAAGCTAATTAAACCAAAGTGAGAAGTCATGATGATAACATATTATTGTATTAAAGAAGTGTGCTTATACCACAATAATGTATTTATTTGTGATACAGTATTATTATTGCTTCCATTCGTATGAAAAACATACATCATTGTAATTATTGCTCTGTTTCAAATTTGCTAATTCTACTGTCATCTAACATCTTTCTTTTGTATTTTAGAGTATTTTCTGTGCTACCCGGTTTAAAGGTATTGGATGGTGTTTTTCGTTTAACATCAGATCTAGAACCAGTAGAAGAGGAAAACCCACAAAAGACTTGTAATTTGATGTGAAAGAGCACAGCCTGTTCTAATTTCTCCTATTTTGTGATTTTAAAAAAATGAAACTTGCACATGATATAAAAAGCCTTGAAGTGTTAATTGATGCATTCGATATTTGTGCAATATGATTATGATGTAAATCAAAACTGAACATTCAGACACTTTCCTGTTATGATTTTATTTTAAATCTGTGATATTTAAATTATTTCTCTACTCTCAAGTTTATATTCAATTCAAATATATGTATTTTTTCATTCAGTTTTAGTGTTTCCATCTGTTTTTGTCTTCGCTTCTTAAGAAATGTAGATGAATATTGTCAATGTTATTGTCCATCCACTGATGACAAGAAATGGGTAGTTTTTATTCAATCTTGATGAAACTTTGCATGTATGAAATGATGAATAGTTAAAGAGTTACAGCCCTTTTCAAATAATTTTCATAAAGCCCTTTATTTGCGCTTATCCTGTCACTAGAAATTTAACCCTATCCCTTAAGTCTAGAACTTTTACCTTGCAATAAAGAACCTGCCTGGTGTTGAGGGGTCAGTCCTGAATTTGCATCTACATTCAACATCAAAGAGATATGCTGCCTAAGGTTAATGTAACAACAATCAATATTTGTTAAAAAGTTCCAACTTTATTTTAAAAAGAAAAGAAAACAATATAAAGTTGTATAAGCTTACTTATCAGTTATCACAGATATTTTTTTATCTGAATTTTTAAACGAATCACCACAAACAACACTGACATAATCACTAAAAGTTATCACTCATACTCATTTTTTACCCTTTGATACCCTGTGACACTTCTTCCATGATATAAATAATATTCAAAAATTTTCTGTCACTATAATTCAGACAAGCATTAACATTGCTAGGCCTCTTCATATATAGATCATAAATTGTATCAAAACTTCTCTTCACTGGTTGAAAGTGATAGAGAAATTTACTCAATCAAACCATAGTCCTTGTACAGAATGAAATACAGAGATGCTTCTCAAATAATCTGAAGCAGAAGTGAAAAGACTTGAGAAAACAAGTAATTTCCTCATTTAAGAATTTGGTATTAAGCATACATACTGTTAAAAGCCCATTCAATTGATTTCAATACTATTTGTTGAAAGGCTAGAAAAACACTTTTCAGATTTTGAGAATTCAATCTCTCTGAATCTTTCCTGTAAGAAATAGTGACTGAACCATGTATACATGCTGATTGATATGTGATGTGATATTTAAGATTACAGTTCAAAATTTTTTGTCATAATGAAGCTCACACAAAATTCATTTCTTTGACAGATCCCGATCTTCATCATAGTTTTCCCAAATATCACATCTCAACAGAAAACACAATGTCTTTAGACACCACACCAAGCTAATCTAGATCTTTCTCAATTAAATATAGGATAGTTTTATTATCCAATCCAGCTTCCTTAATAGTTATACTTAAATTGGTAAAAACTTTCCGAGGCATGTTGATTGCTAAAGAATATTTTTGAGACAATTTTTTGCTCCCGGTTTTATTTTGTGCAAATTTCATCACAGACTTTAAAGTATCAAATGAATGAAATACTTGACACACTCTATCACCAGTATCGGGCAGCTTCACTCCTATTTCTATCACAGGGTTATCTTGACTTGGATCTGGTATCACATTCTTATGTTCACTACTTTTGGATACATCTGATTTTTGTACAGTTGTTTTCCTTTTAACACTGATTTTAACTTTGGAGACAGGAATTTCAGAACTTGTCTGTGTTACTCTATTCTCACTTGATTTCACTCTTTTCTCTGAAGATTTAGTCTGTTTCACTTTAAATCTAGTATGAAGTTGTTGATCTGAAGAAATGTTTATATTTTCTACATTATAATCTAAGTTATCATGTAAACCCTGAGGTTTATGATGGCCATGTTGTATATCTGGTAATGGTTTATATTTAGATAGTGATGAAGAGGGACGAGAAGGTCTCCTGGCAAATGGATCAATTTCACCTGAAGAAGAAAATGACAAATGAATTAGAACTCCAAACATAGAGATGGTAATCAAGAAAATCAAAACACAAGATCAGTTCAAATGTGAAATGAGTAACTTGTCTGAAAAATGAAAACAAAGCAAGGCATTTTCCTTTATGGTTCTTTGTTATGTAAGCTTACTATTTTTTTTCTACCAACACTAGAATTATGTATCTGAGTATACAATATTTGACCATAAATAGCATTATACTATTGTTACCATAAGTACAGCCTACCTGGTAACTGAGGTAAACTGGGACCAGGACCAGAAGTTACTAAAGATGGTCTTCCTCTAGCAGATGTCTTTCTCCTTCCACTTCCATCATCTCCTGCTGGTCTGCTAGGAGGTCGTGGGGAGAAAAATTCTAGGTTACTATTCTGTTCAGTAGACCATGGTGTAGGACTTCCAGGTGGTGCTTTTAACACCTCTTCTTGGTGATGACTTCGAGAATGGTGTCTAGATTGCGGCCTCGCCATATGATACGTCTCAAAATTCCATTTGCTGTTTCAGATGATTTATTTTGATAACTCTTCTGAAAATTGATGAATCATAATCTTACATAGGCTACCGGTACCGTTAAATTTATGATAAATGACAAATAGGCTAAAAAAATTATATAACAGGCCTTTATATTATGTGCATCATCCGCATGAGCATTTTTAAACCCTTGAAAAATTTACTACATCTCATAGCCAGAGGACAAGACAAGTAGTAGATATACTTGGTTGGCAATCATTTTGAAGTAAAGATAAATAGAGAGTCCACATGATCCCAAATATCATTATTGATTGGAGCCAGTACAGTGCAGGACTGGAACAAGTGCCAGTAGAGGAGTAGGCCTAAGTACTACTACTACTACTCTAGGCACTTATCATTGACATTGGTTTTTGTTTTGTTTGAACTTCATTGAGGTTCAAATGCGATTCATAAGTTCAAGTTGAAAAATTCAAATAAGTACAGATTCATAAAATAAGACAGCAAAAGTTCATTTATCAAGTGTGTCAATATTTTTTGTAGCAGTAGAATTAATGTAAGAAAAAATGAATGTTTACTATGACAACCGAAGACGTCAGCATCCATATTTTTAATGTATCGTACAATTCATGTCTGATTGATAGTTTCCGTAACGAAATTAAAGGTCAATACTCATTACTTTGGTTATGAAAAGATATTGATTTTGGTATATTTACGAGATTATTTCAAGGAAAAGTAAAAGGGGTCATATAATCTCAAATATTTAACAAAACCATTAAAAAAAGTGACTTTCGTTTACTTAAATTTCCTTGAAAATTGTACAAAGCCAATATGTCTGCGCCCATGTTTATCTCTAAATAGGAAAATTGAAATATTGAACACATTCATCGATTTCGATTTTGATGATTACGATTTCTGGAAAATTCTGGCTAAGAGATGCTTTTGGCACTGCTTAAAGGATCTGAATTATCTACAATCATTCTTCTTAAAGGTTTATTCATTCATCCAATTATAATTTATATCAGTATGACATATCGGTGTCAGTATTCCTCCGACATACCGAAATTTCAATGTGTGACTATGTGATATTAAAATTTAGATAAAATCTTGTTAAACAAGCGAGCCACTGTAAACAGTTTAGATACTTTATAAGTGGTTGTTCTATGAGGTACTGGCCAAGCACTGAAGCAGTATGATTTAAATACTGTCTGACTACAACCATCTCTGAATCGTATTTTTTCTGTTTTGATCTTATGTACTACTTGATAACTTTGACAGTGCAATCAACTAATCCAAATTGCCTTCGGGTCCATTAAAATTGGCTCTGAAAGACCAGCCCTGCCTTGTTAAGTAATTTTTTTTTACACTTTAAACTTTACCAACTCAGGTTGTCTTTCGGCCATGCCCATGCTACTCTCTTGAATTGTTGATCTCATTTTACTAGTGAAATGTGGGACAAATCGACCAAGAGTCATTCTGTCCTTACTAAAGGTCTACATTAGGTAGTGTCAAGATGTAAAATTTAATTTCTGTTATAGATGATGTTGAATGTATTGATGTTTGTAATGAACATATTATATATAACTTTCTTCTTAATCATAGCAAACGGTGGGTATTTCTTTTACTTATAATTCTCACTTTGTCTGTTGGATTCTTAGATTCAAATCTTAATGTATCCCATTTTTATTAGCATGTCGGATTGATTGACTATGCAAATTGAAATTAAAATCCCAGAATATTCATTTATAAACATTGACTTGTATTGTCAGTCCCCTATTACACTATTTTTGATTGGTATAATTGAATGATAAATCAATTTAAACTGAGTAGGATTTTAAGAAGAATTTTATCAGATCTTGGATGACATAAAGTTGGATGCTGACAAGAAATGGACGTGCATTTTTAACTGACTTTTGTTTTATGTTTGGTAACTTAAAGCTTTTGCATTTTTGTTTCTTAAATTACAGTTATGATAAGACTGTATTTTTGTGTTTTGAGAAGCCACCTGACACCTATCATAAGTTATTACCTTCAGAAACCAAAGACAGGTACTTTAACTAACATTTATTTATCATATTGTTTCCAAAAGTCAACAGGAGATGTCAATAATGCTCTGGGTTTTTAGACTGATTTTGAATTTAATTGTAAACAATTCCTAATCTACTTTTGATTTTAAATATTGATACAAATAGCTAATTTTCATTTTCTCAGTTCGAAATGACAATCATTAGTGTATTCTCTTTTAGTGATGTTGTTTTTTTGTTGTAGAGTGGTGACTATTGACGCAACTAAATATTCACACATGTGGTTAGACTTTCATAACCATGACAATAAGTTAGAAACTGGAACTAATGTTCGGAAATTGATAGAAGAACAGTTACCATCAGGAAATGGTAGTTTTGGGTTGATTATAGATAGTTTGAGTTTTCATCTGTTATTACGTCCACCATCTTTTACTTGTCAATTTCTACATAATTTATCTACAGTATCATATAAAGGTAATCTGTATTTTATACAGCAAAGATCATTTTTGGCGTATATTGGCGTCACCCATGTCCATCCCCCCGTCTACAATTGCTCGTAACACTCTAGTAGGCACAATTCTTGACAGATTTTGACGTTGTGAGTGTTTGTTATCACCCAAGGATGAACCCTATTGAAAATCAGAAGAATTGAAAAATATCTGGTAAGAGAAAAAGTGTTCTATTTTTAGCTCGTAAACGCTCTTGAAGGCACAATTCTGTATGGATTTGGATGAAATTCAAAACTGCCGGTGTGGGTATGTTACCTTGATCAAAAATGAAAAAAGATGGTCATGCTGTTCTGGCAAAATTTCCTTCATTTTTCACACTGCATGGCAATTCCCCAAACAAATGCAGAAAAGTTAGACATTAAATTCCATTTTATTCTTACTTTCACCAATATTTATTTGTAACCCAATTTGAGTAGTTTTATTATTAGGTATATGTGATTAAATGTAATGATTGTTTATTTGATTTTATAGGATATGAAATAAAACAGATAGTATGTGGAGTACATCAAGATATATTTGATAGTCAGATATTAAAACAAATAGAACACACAGCAACATCAGTTCTAACTTTTACACCATCTCCACACAATAACTCTACATCTTGTGCCTTACTACATCATAAAACATCAGGAAAAGTAATCAGGAAGGTAGCATTCCCTTTTTTCTATTGATTTATACATGCAGACATATATTGTCAGAACTCATGACCGCCTATTGAAAAAGATATAGATCCTTTAGTTGTCAACCAATTTGAATGAAATTTGGTAAGATATGATATCATATATGAAGATCATGTGGGATGATTGGCAGTTTGCAAAGATGTTGTAATTGATAACAGAGTTAGCCCTGTGACCTCTAATATTGAAAATGCCACAGGTCCGTGGTTGTCAAACAATGTTCATGGAAATTAAATTTTTATGTTTCACCAACATTCTGAGGTGTGCATTTGGATGTTATCCACTATCTTTTTATACTCTTGTCTTATTTTAAACTTATATTTTATTATAAGATTTTTTATTTTATTAATTGATAATAGATAGAATATTTTCACATCAATGAGAGTTTAACAATATCAAGTATTCGAGAAGAAAATAAACTAACCACTGCCATAGAAACAGAAAATGACCAGGTTTGTTTAGGAGAATTTTGCCAAAATATTATTTATGAGTACATTAAAAAATTCAATCTGTTTTTTTCAAAGTTGAATGTTGTATACAGGCAACACAATGCTTTTAAAATTGAAAACATTTAAATGAAAATTCAAAAAAGGATGTCACTCTTGTGTGATGTATCTGCTGCAGTTATTTGTTGAAAAATTTTTTGTGGGGAAATATTTCCCTTGGTCATGTATTGAAATTTATGCTGTTTATCTAATAATAAGTTAATAATAAGTTGAAATCTGTCTTAGTTAACTTTTTTTTTTTTTTAAATATTCATTTCTAGGTGGATCCTGCATCTAACTTAACATTTAATCTCAGTTTAAAAGAAAGTGAAAAAGATGCCAAAAATCAGCTTATTTTACCCTATACTTATGATAAAAATAGGTAAGATTTTTATGATGCATAAATTGAGGGAGAGGAGGAAAGTAAGATCTATTAGCAATTACTCTGTTTCATTAATGACAATTAGTTTATTAAGGGCTCAATTAATTAAAAACAAAGGAAGAACTTTCCTTTAGGACGTCCTTGATCTGGTGTGTATGGCTTGACTGGTTTCGTTCAAGTTGAACATTTCAGAGCAAGAGTGAATTCATGACTTCTTTTTATGAAGAAATAATGGGGAGGCGCGTCAGGTTAAATGTGCAGGCACTTCATTGATTAATTACTTATCAAGCTTATCTTTACATAAATAAATGAATAAAACTTTGTAGAAAAGAAGCAGCATTAAATGAGCCTGGTGGAGGAAAGATATTTTATCAAGCTGATGAAGTTGATGATTTAGATGAAGAGGATCCTGATGATGATTTAAATATCTGATTTGAAATGAGTGGTTGTATCAACCATTTCATGGTGACAATTTGTTTTTGTCAAAACCTCACTTTGCTGGGTTGATTTGAGAAATGCTAAAATACTACCTCATATGAAAATTTGACATATTTTGCTCTGATTGACAGCATGTGTAATTGTGTGGAACACTAAGCATTATTTAAATGCTGTCTTGGCCTTAGATGGTTTTTTGCACAGAGTGTTCAGTTGCCCATTAGGTAAAAAATTAATTTGATTACTGTATTTCCTAAATTCAAGACCAATAAAAACACGTATTGCATTATTTGTTATCTGGTTTATACTTGAAGTTTATGTATTCACTGCTTTTGTGAAAATAAAATCCTGTGATACAAAGAATATTTGATTTTAATTTCTGTAGAGAAGAAAAAAAAACTAGTACAACAAAAAGTAATAATAGACATACAATAACAATAACTATAGTTATACTTATATAAGCAAACACACCGGATCATAAATAATCTCTTAAAATCTGATGCACAACAAGAAACATGTTTTGAAAGTTTGTGTAAAATTCCAAATATATTTATCAAGGTTAATGGAGCTTGTCTTCATCTCAAAAGGTATCCATTAAAATTTACCAATATACATTAGCATTCTAATAACACAATAAATTTTCATAAAATCAAAATTCAATGAAACCTTAAGTCTCTATTGAGTACATAAGCTTTCTTAATAAAAAAAAATATATAGGAAATGTCAAGAGAAAAAACTAAAAAATCTGTTCAATGAAAATTTTTGTTGATTAAACTCATTCAAGATCTTATCAATATACATGAGCATATCAATTCACAAGCAATTTTGGACAGACAAACAAACAAAAAGCGGTGACGATAATAAACATCCACATTATAATGTGAGTGTATAAAAAGGATAATTAATTAGCTAAAAAAAATTGCGCTAAAATAATTTTTAATTTTAATAAAACAAGTGTGAATGAATTTTTTAAAAGATTTTTCTAATTGATCAATTACTAAAGATAAATCAATAGACTAACTAAGTTACTCTTTGGCACTGTATGTTGCATATTATAATAATAAAATACACTACACTATTTGCGTAAATTCAAATTGCACTGTGAAACATGTGGTATTTTTTTTCTTCTCTTTTTAGTCTATAAGTGATGGCAAGAAACAGTATAAAGATAAAATACAATAAGCAGAAAGACAATAAAAAGACCTCTTTGTAGCAGATCAAATAGACTTTTCAATAAAAGGATTTGTATTGATAATAGTAATTTGAAATTCTAAAAAAAAATGATATTATAGATAAATATTAGACATATCAATACAATTTCAATATTGTTTCGTTTGACCTGTTACCAATAACAAGATTAGTCCAAAATGTATACGAAAACCTTACTCTTCTTTCCTTTGAAAGCTCAATAACAATTATAATAATCTGAAGGCAAACATTATATATCACTAATAACATAACTATTATAAACATCTAAATAAAGTTATAACTTTTATATAACAATAATAGGGAAACAATAAAATACATTAGAAACAGATCTGTTACTGTCTCTATTGATGTGTTTTATCAATTTGCACATTACTGTAGATTTCTTTATCTTTACTCAAATACTCCATTCTGGTGAAGAAAAGTATTTGGTAACTGGGCAGTTAAAACATAGAATTAATGGCCCCTCAATCATGTAGTGATAATAGAGCTTTTGAGTTTTACTATAAAGTCTAGAAGTCCAAGAGAGTAGGCGAGCAACTGAAGTTGATATTGTTTTAATTTGAGGAATGGTTTTATTTTTGAAGGATAGGTATGAGATGTAGAGTGATCTGATATGATAATGATAGATTTATCCTTGAACTTAACTCTGATCTAACATAGATTGAATTTTGAAGATTAAATGGATTGTCAAAAGGTTTTTCTAAACTTCTTATGTGTATCAGGGACACTATGAGCATCGATTTGCACCCTTTCAATTTTCAATCAGAATGATGCAGTTCCTGCAATTCCACAAAAAGCATTTTATACTGATTAGGACCTTATGTAATATAAGAGAATTTTGTAACAGTGATGTCATCAGAAGCTTAGGTTTAGTGGAATTGCAAGAACCACAGACCTCTGACTGAAAATTGGAATGTCCCAAATACACATATGAAGTTTAAACCTCTTAATAATTCCTTTAAGATGTTCTAAAATTCAATAATGCACCTTGTTCTCATATTGATAGATTTGAAAAACCTTTCTGTCTAAACTAGGTAAAGACTTCACCTTGATTGTTACTGTATACTCAACTATAATAACTACCTTGATAATATTCATATGATCAATAACAATTAGCTAATTATTTTAGGTGCCTTGTAACTTATAATTAGAGTAAAGCTAATTACCATTAATGACTGTAAAATTAGATATCAATTTTTAATATTAATAATATCACTAAGGATGTAATTATGTATTAGGTTATGTCAATTAATATTTTCCTTGTAGTACTTTACTTAATAAACTTCCCACTGTGGAAAGTTGGTCTTATAAGGAGTGGCATTTGTATATTTACAATTTTAAGACCAGTCAATAATGACTGTTATGACATTTTCATTCATAATAATATTTATAAACTCTGTATTTTACATGGGTTCCTTGCACCAACATGGCATATATATATTTGACATTCAATATATTATCATCCTATAGGTACTATTTTTATGAATAAATGGACACCAAAGCTTAAGTGGTCCTTACATACTGATCACCTGTTGTGTATGGTTGTGAAAAAGAACAGCAGTTATAAGTTTTTAAAGGCATTTCTCGCGCAACTCAGAGCTGAAAGTTGCATTTGGAATTTGTAGTCACATGCATATTCGCAACGCGAAGGCCCCTTAAAACAGTCTGAAAAGTGTTAAAGGACTGCTATTGGCAGTCACTATTGTCAATAACTACTCAAGGTTAATTGTGATTAATTGTTCCAATAAAATGAGTGAAAATCATTTAACATAATTATTACTCTTACAAAATCATTATTTCAAATACTTGATACATCAAACATATCCTTCATTTATCAAATCAAATATCAAATCAATCTTAAAACATAACACAAGGAATTGGTTCATTTACACATGTACCTTCTTAACATTCATGTTATATTAAATTAGCATTCAACTTTTACATTTAAAACTGCACTTGTATGCATTCATACGGAAATGCACAATCTGACTGTAGAACCATATAATATATTATGATTTATATCAACAGTATTACCTCCTTTCAAAGATGTTCTAGTAAAATAGCATATTTTCAGAAATGCAATGCATGTATATTAAAATTATATGGCTTTACAACGTAAATTCAAACAACTTCAGGAAAAGCTATTATGCCTTGTTATAACAATGTTATTGAAAAAACTTTCTATTCAGGGCTACATGTATATTATGAAGTATATTTTACACAAATAAAAATTAGAATTTTGTTTCTTTTTTGTACCTGATATTATCTGTCTCTGTTTTAATCCTATGATTTGATAAACTTAAAGTACCCAAATATAAATTGAGCATGCCAATGTTAGGGACATGGCATACATTTCAATCTGTCAAAAGCAGCTTTTTCTAAACTCTCTCTATGAGATGGATGAGCAATTTTTATCAGTTCATATGCTCTCTGTCGTAATGTTTTACCAAATAAATAGGCTATACCATATTCTGTTACAATATAATGAACATGAGCTCTTGTAGTTGTAACTCCACTCCCTGTAAAAATTATAAGTATATACTGCTTCATAACCTTTCATTACACTGAAGGTCTTGTTTTCATGTATAGACTTGAAATAATTTTGAATATCATTATTTCCTAGTATTATATTCACAGTTTCCATGTTATAAGAAATCAGAATTATTTTAACATTTATTGTTGTGAACTGTCGTGTATTTTAACTTCTTGACCACCGTCAGTGATGTAGGTTAGAGGGGCTGACGTGGAAATAACATCTAGTGAAATTTGGTGCAGAAGAGGAAGATGTAAAACTTTACTCTTTGGATAAAATAAGCTTATGACAAAAGATTAGAACATCTCACCTTCTGCTATCACAGGAACTATTTTGGACTCTCCTTTTTTAGTGGTAGATGGCATGGCAATAATAGGTTTACCTAATCCATCTAGTCCTAATGCTGCACCACGTATAAAATCTACCTGACCTCCCACACCTATTGGAAGAATTTAGAAATTGCAAGAATATATTGTCTTCCATAAAATTTAACAAGAAACAAAAAAAAATGATCCATAAAACAATTCAAAGTTGACTCTCTCTATAGACATTAATGGAAAACCACAAGTACTCAATTTATGAGATTCCATGATCTATGGATTCACTTATAGTTTTGAGTTGACATCTCTTGGACACTTAAATTGTAATTTATATTGTGATAAAAGAGTAAACACCACTTTAGTGTTCCTGCTAACCCCCCCTCCGTTTTGTCGTAGATTGAAATATTTAGTATAGAATCAGAGACAACTTGACCCGTTAGATCTACCATAATACAAGAATTAATGGCTGTTACTTTTGGATTCTGACAGATAATAGCTGTACTGTTGGTAAATGATACATCTAACATACCTAGAAATTACAAAATATATCAAATAGAATGTGGAAAGGGCTCTCTCATCAAGTAAACTTTAATTTACTTTTCTATACAAACTTCATCAAAGTATTTACTGTACATCATCAATAATAACATGTTCCTTAAGCAACGGTAGACTGTCTCATCTACCTGTTGCTCTTGTGATCCCATATTCTCGCATTAGAGACTAATAACTCTCTACCAATCAAAATTATGACGAGAATATGGAATCATAAGAGCAACGAATAGATTAGACAATCTATAGTTGCCAAAGGAATATGCAATAATAGTAGTTTAAACTCAGTATTGGGTTCTATATAAGATACTCTTCTTGGCTATACATGTAAATAGAGCCAAACGTTTAGTCCTGATTTACAGGATATGGATCTGTTTAATTGGCAGTAATAATGTTTTCGGTGAAATTATTTTCCCTACCAGTTTGCATATTTGAAAAATAAACCTGCATATTTTGTACCCATAATCATGGTTATTTTCTAGACCACTCAAAATTTTTTTATCACTCAGAGCATTGCCTTGTGATTACGTTTACTTACACACATAAGGATTATTGTCCATAAAATCATAGAGTTTTCTGGATCCAACAGCAAAGGAACTGACAATCTTGCCAGTTTGTATGACTTTTTTAGAATTTGTTATGACTCCTTTTTCTACCAGATCTATAATGCCATCACTAAACATTTCAGTGTGTACTCCTAGATTCCAGTGATTACCAAGCTGTGATAAAACAGCGTCTGGTATAGAACCAATTCCTGGAAAACAAAGAGACTATATTTAAAAGACATTTAACTTTAGGATACCCCAAATTTCAGAGAGGAGATAAGCAAGGAACTAAATAAAAAGTTAAATTTCTTGTTTGAGGTCTATTTGAGGGAATTATGTGATTTTTTAGTAGAAGAAGATTTTTTACATATATACAAGGTCTAAATCATTTACCTGAAATGCTGCACTATCCCTTTAAACTTAAAAAGATTTAGTACAACCTTAACTATGACTATGTGAAGATATTTATTACTTTTACTAGTACTTACCCATTTGAAGCGTAGCTCCATCATGTACAAGGTTTTCAGCTATGAGTCGCCCTATCTCTGTTTCGACATCTGTAAGAGGTTTTGGTGGACGTTCAGGAAGAGGGGTATATTTGTCTTCCACCATTACATCTATATGTGATTGATGTATCATACTGTCACCAAATGTACGTGGCATATTGTGGTTTACTAACCCTGAAATTAATCAAATATAATTGTTTGATAATAAACAATATAAACTGATATTAAAGAAGTAACGCAAACAGGTCTTATTATTTAAGACTACCAATTGGAGAGACTGCTCAACCACCATTTAACATATTCTAGTGGTGTTGGGTTTACCTGTAACAATACTGACTTTATGGTATTTCTGGTATTTCCTCACCAGCCTTCAGTGCTTGATTTTCCTGAATCACAGTGTATGGCAGAGTGTACCTTTACAATCCCAAGTAAAATACAGAAAATATATGTCATAAAAAAGTTTAACACACCTATAATAACTTTAGCATTTTGTACAGCAGCCCGTGTACAATCAACACTTGGTCCCAGACTACAGTAGCCATGTTCATCAGGGTAACTAACTGATATCAAAGCTACGTCTAGATTTATTATGTTGCGTCTAAATAACAACGGTATTTCACTTAAAAATATTGGAGTACAATCAGCACTTCCTCTGTTTACAGCTTCACGAACATTAGAACCAATAAATAAGGAATTAGATCTGATAACACCTGAAATATTATAAGAAATACTTTAAAATGAGGTATGTACGGAAGCGTATTAGGGCCATTCAATTTTTTTTTTTTTAATTTTCAAGTTAGTATGTTGAATTTTCAAGTTAGTATGTTGAATTTGCAAGTTAGTATGTTGAATTTAGTAACTTGAATTTTCAAGTTAGTATGTTGAATTTAGTATGTTGAATTTTCAAGTTAGTATGTTGAATTTTCAAGTTAGTAACTTGAATTTTCAAGTTAGTATGTTGAATTTTCAAGCTAGTATGTTGAATTTTCAAGTTAGTATCTTGAATTTTCAAGTTAGTATCTTGAATTTAGTAACTTGAATTTTCAAGTTAGTAACTTGAATTTTCAAGTTTGTATCTTGAACTTTTAAGTTAGTACCTTGAATTTTCAAGTTACTAACTTGAAAATTCAACATACTAACTTGAAAATTAAAAAAAAAAAAAAAAAAAAATGAATGGCCCTAATACGCTTCCGTAGGTATGCATGGCACCTGACAAATATATTTTACATGTATATGGAGAAATGTTTTTGCAAGATTAGTTGAGTGAGATTTGTAATTGATCATTTGTTGGTTTAGTTTTATGTTTGACAATTTGTATTTGATTTGATTTGTACAAAATTTGATTTTTCTACACAAACGTCAATTTTGAAGGATAAATGGTGAATTAAGCATACAAATTAAGAGAATTCAGATAAGAACATTGAATAAGAATTCAGAATCGAGAATTAAACAATAGCAATGAAGAACATTGAATAAAAAAAGCCACTACACCTCCCATACTTATGGTATATAATGTATCTTGAGGTCGTAACTGGAGGTGACAAAAGTCTAAACCTCAATAATATGTTTTAGATCATTTGTAGAAGTGGTTGTAAGATTTTTTTCTCAATTCAAACAAAGAAAAGTAGGCGTATAAAATTCAAATAGTTACAATCTTTTTATTTCTGGATTGGAAGTAATTATATTATTATAAGCTTAAATAGATTTTCATTAATAAAAAGTTTTAAAATCTCAATTAAATCAATTTCTTAACAATAATAAAGATTTTATATTTTTGTTCAGAGGTATAATCATTTTCTAAGATTGAAGTCAAATGAAAAAAACAAAAAACAAAACTATTATTTGAAAAGAATAAAATCAATGATTAAATATCAATATTATATTAATCATTATATAAATAAAATTAATTTCATTTCAATAGAAATTCACACCTTAGTCTTTTTAAATTGATACAACTAGGGCTGGGTAAAATAATCAAAATAAGCGTTCATAGTCGCTAGGAATTTATAATTTTGATTATCGATCATCGAAATACATAATCGATTAACTGTCAACATTATATTTTCTCCTGTGTACTGGTTAACTAGTCATAATTTCTTGCACAGTTTCCCCCTTAAGCACATCACTTACCCACATTAAACTATCATAACCAATCAAAAATAACCCATGGAAATATGATGATATGATTTTTATTTAGTATTTAGAAGATTTTACACTTTAAATATTTTGTTTATTAATCGATTATTGATAGGTATTATGCCGTCAATAATCTATCGCAATTTGGTCATCGATACCCAGCCCTAGATACAACGACATTCAAAATTGGTTTTGTTGTCATAGAAAGGCAGGTTGAGGCGAAATGGGACCCTAGGTCCACTATCCCTGGCAAGCAGCTACCCCTGTAAATAATGAATGTAAGGTATACAATAATCTTGGTATATCCTAACTATAATTACAAATAATTGAAATCAGGAGTTTATTTGATGACTGAATTCTATCTTTTATTTGAAATGGTGGAAAAATTGTCTAGAAAATTTCTGAATCTGTAACATATTTGATCTGATTAATGAGATGGTATAAAGATATACAGTATTACAATATATACAAACTTACCTTCGAATTCTGGCTTAGTAAAACTTGCTGGTCCCTCTGTATGAATATGTATTATTTCTATATCTTTTAAATTATGGTTGATACTGTGTTCTGCTAGAGCCTCCACTAATCTAACAGGAGTAGCTGCTGCTCCATGTAAAAATATTTTATCACCTACAAGAAACGGTTATTGTAAAGCTTGAAGGTGTTAAGAATGTATAGGGATTAGATATTATTCTCTTAGTTAAATATACTTATTTTCATACAATTTCAGTACAGGATATAAAACAAAAACTAGTTGGTTCTTGAATATCCTGGATCAGTAAAAATGTTTAAGACTTAAGAACCCTAATTTCCCAAAAGGCACAGAGGCCCATTGTAACTTTTGTGATAACTTTAACCTTATGACTACTTATATTGCGTTCAAATGACTAAAGTTGAGGCAGCTTAACCATCAACCATTCTTCAAGACTGGTTTACTGTTTTTTGGTGAGCGTTCATAAGGACATAAAGGTTAATTTAGCTTTGACATTATTTCAGAAGTTAACGGGAAGTTAGAGGTCATAATACCATTACACATGAGTATAATGACATAGGCAATAATGGCTGGAATTTGTTTAGACGAATGCGCACGCGCAGATATGACATATCCGGCTTAATATTAGCCAGTAGCTTTCAGACAACAAAACTAAACTGGCTATTCAAGACAGATTTTAAGCCATCATCAATCATGCACTTTAACTTATCTGAAACTTTTAACTAAAAAAATCCAGCAGTTAATTTTATAAATATAAAAATACCCTCCAGAGCTACTGGCCTGATAAAACTTTGAGATTTTCAGAGAGAAGATAATCTGGTGAACGAAGTAAATAACAAGTGTAACTTCTCGTTTGAGATATATTTGAAGGAATTACTGGATTTTCATACACATCAAGTACTTTTGAAGACTACTTACATATTCAAGGTCCAAAACAACCCAGAAAATGACAAACCATGGCATGGACCCCATTGCTTGAGGAACATTTTCAAACTTTGAAATATCCACTCAATTCACCTGTTACGGTACATTTAAGTCTTACACTAACATGTAGGGCCTATGTCAATTTTCAAAGGGGATTTACAATTAAAAACATGGGTACTGTTTGTATGTAAGGTACAGTAGGTTGAATCTTACTAATTTATTGATATATACTGGAATACACTGGATGCATATTCATTTAAAACCATGAAAATCACACATTTACAATTTCATTTTGGCACTTCATAATTTGATTAAAATGCAAGTGTTGAAGAATGCAATTCAATTTAATGAGATGTAAAATGTAAAAAGGTGAATGATACAGTAACAACTAAAAAGCCTACAAATATATTATTTAACCTAATATCACAGGCAGGTAAAAAATATATGTCAATATGTTCCACTAGAACTGCCCACTTGCCCATATTGACATAATTAGGCTGATGCTAATACTGGGCCTAATCCACTACAATATTATTGGTCACTTTAAAGGGCCTTAAAAAGACAAGGATTTTACTTCTCAGACATATTCATATTAGAAATATAGGCCTCTTAAATCTGATATTACATAATTCGGTCAGAAGTTCGGAGGGGCAAATTACACCTCTTACTTCATAGGCTACAATATTTCCTTCTACTGACCTGATTTGACAGCTCTCACCGCTTCAAGTGCTGACTTCCAGTCTGGATGACGGTCTGGAAACGGATGAAATGGCTCTGGTGTGTAAAGATAAAAGTTTCTCTTTGATGGACTTTGTTTTGAGCCAAACGTTTTAAATCGAAGGGCTCGGGAAAGAAGTTTTGATGCCATTGATAACCGACTCTCCAAATCCAACGAGTGCCATAACAATTCGACCTTGACCTATCAAGTTATGAACGACCTTGATGACCTTGTTCTTGCCAACTTGTCAAACAAGGTTACGGCCTACCTGATCTTAAAGAAGAGAAAATTGTCTTTGGTTCTTTTGTCATATACTAAAGCTGCATCTAAAGGGATACAGTTGTCGAAATTTTTTCGTTCACAGCCTGCAGTAACAATATTTGATAGCTTGCATCTGACATAGCCTTTTGCAGGTCGGGCGTTTTATAACTAGGCTTAAAAGGCAACTCATCTCATGGCCATATGGGCGCAGATCACGGGGGGACAGGGTGACACCTCCCCTCCGTCAAAAAACCTGGGAGGTCAAGCAAATGGTCAAGCTTGTTGAGTAGAGTGTCTCTGTTATGGACGTAAAATAGGCACTTTGACATCCGAGAACATCAAAGTGCCGAAATTTTGCAGTACCGGTATTCGAACAATTGAGGGCTGAATGAGAGGATTGAGACACATCTCCACCCACAGAAGCGTCGTTACGAAGGGACACACGTAGCGAATTTTATCGTTTGCATATTCGCACTGTATGACTGGAAAATTATAAGTAGTCCAATGCAAGAATTAGGTACCTTTCTTTATATAATATTTCTGAGAGCTATAAAGATACAGTGTCACCAGCTCATCTGAAACGTTCTCATGCTGCTATATTCTGCAATCGAATTCGCACCTACGGTCCGACACTTTTTGAATAACGCTACTGCACGCTAGGCCGAAACCGAAACATCTGCCTCTAAGCTAGCCTCTATTTTGACAGTGTTGTCGACTGTCGAGTAAATACAAAAAACCGCAAGTACGTCACAAGGACTCCGAAATTTAAGCAGCCTGTCAGTTAAGAAACCCAAACGTTACCATGTTTTTGGTTTCTTTTTTATATCAGATATATGCAAATATCTCATAACTAAGTAAGAAATTCGGACAATCTAAGATATTTGCCCCCACACTCCTCGGACTTAAACCTGGATGCGCCACTGCAAAGGCTTACATGGTCAAATCTTTCCTAGTTGAATGCACGTTCCTTTAGCAACAGTGTTCGACGTTTATCACATCTAATTTGGCTAAATGTGATAAACATCGTGTAGGCCTACTTGAACATAATCCAACCATTAGGCTACATAGTAAGTGTTATCAGCATCCCCTAGAAGTAAACGTTAATCTATCATCCAGCCGATCCTCATCCCTTTCCTTTGCTCCCCTTCTCATACCACCCCTTACGAAATTAAAGATGTGGGAAAGAGCAGTGAATTTGTGGGAGTGAGAATTAAATACAACTACCAGAGCACGTTTGGGCGATGCATTATGGCTTACCCTTTTTATTATCAACTAGGTAGGTAAAGTGGGGATTTGGTTTCTAAACTAATCCAATTAGCCCTTCCAACGAGCCTTAACCTTAATATTGAGAGAAAACGTAATGTTCAAATCGAAAATAGAAAGTCTACAGCTCATTGATCGCCATTGGCTTTTTTTTCTGAAAAGCGGAATAAATGAGTCGGTTAAAAGTCAGATAAAATAAACCTTTAACACTGAAAAATCTTTTCACGCCTAAAAAGCTTTTTAAAAGACGTTTTCCAGTCCAACGTGAATCACGGGGACCTTAAATAAAGCCTAGTTATATCCTCTTTTTCGCAATTCCATTGACGTTTGCGACATTTAAGATTGAAATTATTTTCATATTGTCATATATTATCATTATTGGACAAATAAAAAAAACAGAAAATATACCAGGCCACCAACCAAAGTAGATACACCGCCTATTACATACATTTCCTGTTACTGATTTATATAGATCATATTAATCGATATGTACATTGTCTGAAATTTGTTTTTCAATAGATACAGCTTCCTTTAAGACGTCATCTAAACTACTTAGACCTTTTATAGGTGTTGGCAGGAAGCAATATAGACAAAGTATTAAATATTGGATTATAAAATATTACATTTTTATAGACGAAAAACTTAGTTTGAGAGTAAAAAATTAGTCAATAGAAGTTAGAACTAATACAAAAATGGTAGGAAACAGTTCCGACTTATGGAATAGTACAACAGAAGATGACAGCACTATCAACGACCTGGGGAAAGAGAAAACTATTGGTTTGATGACAGAAGAAGAGTTTGACTCCTTTATGACTGTGATGAAACAAGTACAACTCATCTTATCACTAGTAGCAATAACAGTGAATATTCTGAATATTGGTGTATTTAGCCATCCTAAAATGAAAAGCAGTATCAGGATTTATCTAATTTCGATCAGCTTTCTTCAGATCTTGTACGTCATCATTTCTCTCGTACCAATGGTTCAGTTACTCATGTATGGAAAAAATTATCAGAAAAAGACCCAATTTTTCAACAGCTATGGAATTTGTTGAGAATATGAACACTAGTTTGATAAAGACTATAGCTATAAATAGAATATTGATATAGACTATAGATTGCATGCATGGTCAGTATTAGTATTATAAAGTTTGCAGTCATCCTTGCTAGTCATGTAACATGTGCTTGATGTCTTATATATAAATCTTATTAATGCAATAGCTGTTTTCATTCCATCCTGATGAGCGAATGCCAGTCGGCCTTTGGTGATTCGACATGGTGTCAGAAGTGAACTTTCTAATTTTATAAAAGAAAGGAGAAGAAGCCGGAGCTAGAAGTTGACCATTATTAGATTGCGTCATATCATCGTTGTTGGAACATTAAATTAGTTCAAAAAGGATTTTATATTGTGGATAGAACATTCAATTGGTTCATAGTGCTTATAAAATATAAAGGATGGCAAAGCTGAAGCAACCGGAGAAATTCCATTTTGATCAACCTGGTGAATGGCCAGTATGGAAACAAACTTTTAGTCGATTTAGAATCGGAAGTAAATTACATAAAGAAGATGGAGATATTCAAGTAAGCGCTCTAATATTTTGTATGGGTGAAACTGCTGAGAAAATATTTAAAACTTTTACATTTGATGCCGAAGAAGATAAAGATAATTATGATACTGTGATTGGAAAATATGATAACTATTTCATTCCAAGTAGAAACATT